CATTTCCCTAATCAATAGTTATTTAGAACATTTTTTCATATTACTATAGATAGCTTTAGTTTCTTCCTCTGAGAACTGCCTTGAACACGCATTCATAAATGTGTGTGAACATACATAAAAGGTTGAAGAGGCAAAGAGATGAAGAGCCTTGATTGACAGGAGTTTGGACTTTATTCACAGGCAATAGTGAGCCACTACAGATACTTAAGAGAGAGTATGATATAATAAAAGCACAATTTTGGCAAGACAAATCTTGCATTAGTGTATAAGATAAATTAAAAAGAGGAGAGACCAGGATGTGATTTCTGTGATCCAGGTATGAATCATGAGTCCTGAACAAGGAGAAGGGTTATGGGAACAAAGAGGAAGGGATGAATTAGAGTAACATTATGAAAGAAGAACCAATGGCACTTGGTGAATCATTCATTCAGCAAACATTAGTAAGACCTCCTCCACTTTCCACTTCATTCCATACTGTAGGCAAACCTTTTGCTAAGTGGTGTGTATGTGTGTGTGAGTTTGTGTGTGTGTGTGTGTGTGTGTGTGTGAGAGAGAGACAGACAGACAGACAGAGACAGACAGAGACAGAGAGAGAGGAACAAGAAGATGATTCTCAATCCTAAGAAATTCCTGGTCTAGTAAGGGAGATGACATCCAATAATAACTGACATTCATATAGCATTTAAAGGTTTACAAAGAACTTTCATGTATTATCCTATTTGAGTCGCACAACAACTCAGTGTATTATTATCTCCATTTTTTTTAACAAACATAGAAACTGAGGCTCAGAGCGGGCAGGGGAATCACTCATGATCATAAAGCTAATAAATATTAGAGGTGTTTTGAAGCCACGTCTTCCTGACTCCAACTCCAGCACTGTACCCCAGATACAATGCTGTCTCTCACATGTACAAAAATAACTAACACGTAAGGCAGCATGGGATAGGTACATGGCAAGAGTAGTATAAATAATAAAAATACCTAGAATTTGCACGTTTTACTTTATAAAATGGTCTGCCTATTACCTCATTTGAATCCACACTCTTTGTTAAAGTGAAACAATTGTTCTAAGGATAATGAGATCACTTTTAAATGGACTGGGCAGGCTCGATGAAGAAGGCAGCCTTGACAAAATGGGAGATGAAAAAGTAATCAAAGACAACTTCACCATTTGACACCTGGAGAGTAGAAAAATGAAGTGTTATTGACCAAAATGAAAACATTGGGAAGGGGACCCAGTCTCAGGGGAGGCTGAAGGATTCAGTTTCAGGCATTTTTTTATTTTAGGTGACAGTAGGTAGGGCATACAAATGGAAATTCCCTATAGGCATCTGGAAATACAGGAGTGGAATATGGGTGAAAGATTTGTATTTAAGATGTAGTCATCAAGTGATAGTTGGAGCTCTCTAAAGGAAATAAAGGTTGAGAGAAAATAAAATAATGGTAAGCTTTGAGGAGTTACCTAGAGGGCATAGAATGAAGAAGAACCTTTAAAGGAACTAGAGAAATAGGAGGGAAACTAAATTAGTGTCTTGAAAGTTGAAGAAGAGAGTTTAAGGAAGGGTGGTGGTGGTAGTCAATAGTATCAAGTAGGATGATGACTGGGGAAAAGGTCATTGGATTGGCAAGGAGCTTTGAGATTACTATCAAAGTCAGATTGTAGGGTATAAAGAAGAGGGTGGTAAGAGGAAATTGAGGCAATGGGTAACATTTCATGGCAGCTTGCTATTTTTTATCCCTTTCCCTTTTCTCTAAAATGTTTAAGGCTAAAATATCCTATGTTTATGGTGTCCATGGAGAAAGGAGAAAGATGAAAAGTCGTGAGAGATAACATTGCAGGCTTTACTGCTAGAGAGATACAGAATCCAGGTCAAAGATTTAAAATGTGCCAGTGAAACTGGATAAATAAATCAAAAGATTTGCAAAATGTATCCTGCCTATAGTCACAGTCAACAAGCATCTATTAAATGCTTCCTATCTGCTGGATCCTGTGCTAAGCACTGGGGATACAAAGAAAGGTATCAACAATCTCTGCTTTCCAAGAGCTCACATTCTAGGGTGGAGACAACTATGTACAATGCAAGACATATACAGTGGAAATGGCTGATAGTCTCAGACAGAAGGATCTAGCAGTGGGCAGAGGGGCAGAAGACTGGAAAGGCCTATTGCAAAAGATGAGATTTGAGTTCATTTATAAAGGAAGCCTGGAAATCCAGGTGGCAGAAGTGAGGAGAGAGAGCATTCCAGGCATGGGGGAGACAGTCAGTGAAAATGTCCAGAATTGGGAGTTGGAGCATTGGGTGTGAGGAACAGCATTGCTATAATCAAGGAGTATGCGGAGGGGAATGAAGTGTAAGAAGACTGGAAAGGGAAGAAGAGCCAGGCTGCAAAGGGATTTAAAAGCCAAACAGGATTTTATATTTTATCCTGGAGGTAAGGGAAATCCACTGTAATTTATGGAGTGAGGGGACTGACATGGTCAGACTCTTCTTTAGAAAGGCCGCTTTGGCAGTTGAATGGACAATGGACTGGAGTGAGGAGAGACTTGGGGAAGAGAGACCAACTAGACCAACTAGTCTGTTGCAATAGTCCAGGTGGTGAGGACCTATACCAGGGTGGATGCTATGGCAGAGTAGGGAAGAGGAGACAAAGGAAATATGTGGAGAAGTAACGCTGCCTTTGGGAGGATCATTCTCTCTGGTTTCATCTTTGTCTCCTATTTCTTCCTCTAAGCAAGAAGGGACATAAAGACAAACCTAATCACTGATTGACCTGCTGTAATTGCTACAGTGTAGAAGTTCCTTGTGATTCAACATCAGCATCCAGTTGGGTATGGCTTCCCCCAAAGGTGCAGGAAAGGTTATATCCCCATCTTCCATTTTGACCTTATCTTTTAGACTTTACAGACCACTTTGTCTGTACCTCTCTTAGAGTTTTGATTAAATGTTTATCATGCTCTTATTTTGTGTAAAGTACTTTTCCAGACACAAATGAAAAGTCCTGCCTTCAACAAGCTTTTAGCTGTTTGTGGTGGTGACTGATCCTCCTTGCCTCCTTAGGCTACAAGCTCCATGGAGGCAGGGGAGTGGCTAAGCTGAACTTTATTTCTTTTCAAGGTCTGGTTCAGTGTTTTGCATACAGTAGGGCAATTATTGTTTGTTCGTATGTTGGTTAGAGGCAATATGGAAACCCACCATAATTTCCAGTACTCACAAGCCACAGGTATTGGTAACAGAAGTGAGAACAGTTCTGAGGAGGTGGCAGGGCACCACTCACCCAGCATCTTGAAATGACCGTAAGATAACTTTTTTTAAATTTTAATTTCATGTTGTGTAGGCTTCACTAAGTGGGAGGGACTAGAAATTCTACTCATTAAGAGACAAACTGAGGAGCCTGATCCTTCTCCTGTTGCCAGGAGATGAAAAAAGAAAATTCACCAGGTATTTATTGTGTTCCTACTATGTGCCCAACATTGCTCTAATTCCTGATTTCTTTAGTCTCTCCTTTTGGACAATCATCTCCAGCTTCTTGGTGAAATGGATAGAGCGCTGGGCTATGATTCAGAAAACCTGGATTCTAGTTCCTGCTCTAGCTTTGATTCCCATGTGAATACAGGCAAATGATTTCCCTTTCTGTGTCTCAGTTTCTCCTTCCATACTATGAAGAGGTTGGACCAGGTGATCTCTAAGGTGTTTTCCAGATCTGCCATTCTGAAATCAATTGATTACCACCAGAAGCCCTGTTTCTCCCCTCTCCCAAATTTCCTGGCTCTTGATTTCCCTTCTTCTCAGCTTCCAGACCACAGGGTTTAGAGAGCTGAGGGCCTGGGAAGTGGGGGATCACCAGAGTTGGGGCAAAAATTCATAACGAAAGACTTGCATGACGTTTTGCCCTTGGCTTCAGTTCCTCCACCTATAAAATAAAGGACTAGGCGATAACTTGACGGCTTCTACCTCTGACTGACGTTCTACGTTCCATGTCCCAAGGTCCTCTCAGCTTTGGCAATCTGTGTTCTATGTTCTAATGACCTTCCCAGCTCTAACATTTCATGATCTGTGTTCCAAGGCACCTGCCAGCTCTAACGTTCTATGATCCTCTGACATCCTATGATCATGGTTTGAGACTGTGGAAATATTGGCCCAGATCCCTATCGCAAATTCTGCACACAGGTGGCCAACGTGGGCAGCAGAGGGTGCAAATAAGGGGTGTGGGTCTGCGGGACAGGGCGGGGGGGGGGCGGGGATCGGAGAGTGACAGTCGCTATGGAACGACCCCCGTGGTCACCGCCGCTGCTCTTGGGCCTCCGCGAGCCAGCCACCTCTTGCGGATTTTCCTCACTTCCCACTGGAGTGGAGGCAGAAGGGGTAGCGCTGAGAGAGAGGGCAACGCGAGCGGGGAGGCGGAGGTGTGAGGCCCTGGGTCGCGTGCTGGGTCTTGGTGGCAGGAGCCCGGGTGCGCGAGACCCCGCTCGAGGCGTAAGGGAGCGCATGCGCAGGATCCTGGCGAGCGAGGGAGCCGCGGTGCTAGGAGGGGAGAGCAGAGGAGAGAGGAGAAGGAGCGGGAGCAGCAGCAGCAGCTGCCTGCCGGGAGGGAGCGAGTGTTGCCTTCGCGGACCCAGAGCTGCGGGGCTGCTTTAGAGGGAGGGGGAGAGAGCCCGGGGTTGGGCCGGGAGACCCCTCCCTCCGGAGCCCGCGGAGGTGCCTTCCACCCGCGCCTCATCCCGCCCCATCCCGCCCGGCCTCGGCTTCTGTCCGGCATGAGTCGCTGACCGCCCGCCCGCTCGCCGCCCCCGGCGGGCTCCGAGTGCGCCACCGCCGCCGCCGCCGGGGCGCAGAAACCCGGAGCCCAGCCCGGAGCCAGCCCGGCTGCCAGCCGCCCCCGGAGCCGCGGCAACGGCAGCAGCATCAGCATCAGCATCAGCAGCATCAGCGGCGGCAGCCCCGGCCCCGGCAGCCACCCCCGCGCCCAGGGAAACTGTTGATCCGCGCTGAGACCGCAGGGGAAGCGGCTCCTTCGGCCTGGCCATGTGGACCCCCACCGAGGAGGAGAAATACGGCGTAGGTAGGTGCGGACCCCTCCTCCACCCCTTGTCCCCTGAGCGGGCTCCTGGGCGGGGGGGAGGTGGTCAGCGCGAGTGACCCCTCCTCCTCTCTCGCTGGGACTGGAAGGGGGAATCAAGGGGAGTGACCCCTCCTCTCCTTCCTCGGGATCGGGGGGGGTCAGGGGTGACCCCTCTTCTCCTTCCCCCGGGGCTGGGGGGGGTCAGGGGGGAGTGACCCCTCCCCACCTCCAGCTGGGAGGAGTGAGGGGGAGGGGCACAGGACTGTGCGGGGGAGAGCTGGAGAAGGACGGGAGTATTGTGAGCGGGGGTGGAGGGGGGGTATCGTGTGGGTTTTGGGGGCGCGTTGCATGGCTCTCCAGTGATTGGGGAGGGAAAGAGGCGAGGATTGTACTCGTACATATATAGCTGATGGCAGCATCAGCAGCCTCAGCGTCTCGGAGTCCTGTCATGTGTTGGTACCACGGTGTTTGCGTCTGTCACATCTGCAGCCCCCTGGTTCGGTTCTTCAGCCGCCACAGCCCTGACGCTTCTTCTCCCCCCGCTACTTTCCTCCTCCACTTCCATAGGCTCCCCCCCCATTTTGGATTCTGGCTCAGGTCGCGGGGCAGCTGCGGCCCTCTAGTTAGGATGGAGGGAGATGGACCGGCCGCTGGTTGCGTTTTAGACCAGGCATGGTGCGGTCTCTGTGGCGGAGAATCGTCTGCTGGGGTGGTGTCTCTTGGCATTTCCAGTTCACCAGGATTTCAGAAATCCATTTCAACTATTGCTTTCGATAGGGAAGCCGGGGTTTCCAAGCATCCAATCGGCAAACATAATCACACTGTCTCACCGGTTTAATCTATTAATCAGTGCGATTTTTTTCCTCTTTTTCTTCCCCCCATTTTAATCTTCCCTCTGATCTTGATGAGCGGGACTTTGTGAATCAGAAAAATGGGACTTTAGGGGGCGCAAGCGATGCGGTGCTGACTGAGAGCAGGCGCTTGTTTCCAGGAACAGAAAGAAACATTAGACAGTACACAATGAAATGTGGTGTTTGTACGATGACCGATTTTAAAGTTAGTGAGGCTTTTTAGATTAAGCTGCATTCTCTGGATAGGCAGAGTAGGAGCAGTCCATGCAGTGACTGCTGAGAAATCCGCCTGGGGCACTTTTGATGAAGCTTGGTGTCGGAATTTTGTCAGGAGAAAAATCAAACTCTTCAACAATATGCTACTCTGGTTCTTAGGGTTAACCTCAATATTTTTTCCACTCGAGTTTTATAGATTCCCCAATTTGGTGAGCTTGTTTATTTTGGATTTTAGGTATGAAAATAAAAGATTATAGTGTTGACAGTTTGCTACATACAAAATTGTGAACATTTGTTGATTCCTTTTCATTCATTTCCTCCTAGAGAAATGTAAATATTTAGCAAGTCTTCTGCATATGTGGTAATGTTGAATTGCTTTAAATGAAATACGTGCTTTAAAAATATTTAGACCTCTTTAAAGGGTATAAACAAGAAAACATTATTTCACTTATTCTACAGTCATCTTTAATCTATATTTGAACTCTAAAGCTAAAGAATTCTTTCAACATTACACTGGACTAAAAGTTTAAACACTTTAAAAATTACTGAATGTCAAAATTTGTTCTTATTATGAGCAAGGTAGTGTTATTTCATGTCAGTTATAGAGTAGAAGAATATGATATTGCATTATTGTAAATTTGTCATGTGTATCACCTGTCAGTTTTTCTATTGGAGCCACATTAACGTATTGAGGCTACAACCTAATTTTTGGTGCTTCTATTATAGATGAAAAATCTGTTTAAACAAATGTTTTTCATGACGTATTTCCACGGATTAATGTATATCACCTTTTTGAAGCCCGATTTAATTTTTTTTTGCTTAAATTAATAGGCTTCAAAATTTAGCTTCAAAAATGTGAAATTGGCAGTGGTAAAGCAAATATTTTGGAAAGTTATAATAAGGTGGTATATTGTGATATAATTTTGTACGTTTCCATTATGGCAAAGTGCCATGCCAACGCTAATTTTTATTTCATTTTGGGAATTGGAAATGTTCTTATGCTGGTGGGAAAACCTGTGTTTTTAACCAGAGACTTACTTTTACTTAAAATGGCAACTTAAGAAAGTTTTCTTTTTATGTAATATATCTTAACATAATTGTCACCAGGAATGGGGTTGGTTGGAGTACGGGGAAATGCATCTAGAGCTGGAATGGGACCTTTGCTCCACTCTGGCAGCTGAGAAGCCATTGGGGAACTCTGGGGAAAGAAGTGCAGGGCCAAGATCCAGCTCTAGGCTTCACCCTTTGCCTTGAAGAATCTCCCTGCATACAAAGTACACATTTTGGTGAAACAAAAGAGTCAATTGTTTATCAGCTCTAAAACTTGTTCTTGAAACTACTTTGCTCATTTTACAATGTTTCAAGTAATAAACCACCAATCTTGAATGCTTAAAGCAGTAGATCATACTCTGTTTCTTATATTGGCACCTCTACTGCTTGTGTAAAGATCCTCTTGTATGTAAACAGAACATAATGTTATATAAAGCTATTAAGAAGCTTTCTAACCAGGTGCACTGTATGTCTTAAAGCATTTTGATGTTTGAGACTGTCTAGAAGGTGGGACAAAGTTATTGATATTTTATTAAGCTGGAATAAAGAAAGCCACTGCTTCCTTAGATTGTAGTTGCAAAATGCTGACCACACAATTTTTGTTGCTGAAATGTCTATTGAATGAATGAAACCATTACTTTGAAGACATTCTCTGTGCTCTGAGTTTTTAACCTGGGGTCCATGTAACCTGAAATTTGGATAGATTTCAGCGGGCCCCTGAACTTGGATGAGAAAATAAAGTACGTCTTTATCTCTTCTCTAGTTGAAATACAGCCTTTCCACCAAGCAGTTAAAAACATTATTTTGAGGAGGGGCCCACAGGCCTTACCAGATTGTCAAGGGGCTCTAGGATACATGACATCAGACTAAAAGGGGTCCTGTTCTCTGGGGAGGAGGGGGATTCTCTTAATCTAACTACTCTTTTTTTTTTGCCAAGTAAATGCTATTCTCACTGTTTTCTTCCAGAAGCCTTTCTTTCTTCTGCCCTTTTCTTTTTCCCTTATACCCTATTCCAATTTAGTCATTCACTGACTTACAAATGGCTTATTTCCCAAAAGTTCATTTTCTAGTTGACTGGAACTTAAAGGAGAATTTTCTCTTAGAAATAATGCCAAGAATTTATTAAATACCTGTTATGTGCAAGTTATTCTCTTTGGGGCAGGGATATAAGGACAATAAGAAAAACAGTCCCTACCCTCAGGAAAGTTATATTCTACAAGTGGGGGGAAAGAAGTTACACAGAGAGGTAAGCAAAGAATAATTTGAAGAGGGAGATTCCTTGACAACTAAGGCAATCATGAAAGACTTCCTGTAGGAAATAGTATCCAGGTTGAACCCTAATGAAAATAAGGGTTCTATGAGGCAAAGATGAGTTGAGCCTGCAGACCAAGCACGTGGGACAGATTGTGCAAAGGTGTAAAAGCAAATTTTGGAATTCAGGAAACAGGCCAATTTGACTGGAATGTAGAGCATATGGAGGAATTTGAAATAGATCTGGATAGGTAGGCTGGAGCTATATTGTGAAGGTTTTTAAAAGCCGAGCTGAGGATTTTGTATTTTATCTTACAGGCAATAGAGAAGCATTGGATATTGTTGAGCATGAGAGTAACATGAAGAGATCTAAATCTTAGGAAGATTACTTTGACAGTTCTATGGAGGATGGGTCTGTGATCTCATCAATGAGGGTGTTTCTTCTAATGTTGGAGATTAGAATCCTGGTCCATGCTTGTTCCTCTTACATGACTTTCATCCAAGCTCATTCAGTGTGCTCATGACATTGGAGGGTTATATACCACTGTATTTTTTGTTATTTCTTGCTCTTACTATGTGACCCTGCCTGGGTCTTTCTTCCACAAACTAGGAAAATGTTTATATATCTCAGCATGTGTAAATCCTTTTTAGTTTTTCAACAATTGACTATTTCCTTCAACCTCTCTCGGGAATGAATATACAAGGTCCAGTTTCACATTTGGCCAACTTATTTTTTCCCTCCTAGATTACATATGTGTTACATATTGAAGGGCTTATTCAATGTAAATTGTAGCCAAAACCCAGCTACTAATATTCTCTTGTCTATTTTTAGGTTTTACTTTTGTCCTTGCTACCCTATATGCCTAGAAAGCCCCCCTTCTCCCACTTTCTATTTTACATCTTGTAAGAAGGCTCCTGTTCTAAGCCGATTAGGTGAGAAAACTCATCTATTTCTCTAAGACGCATCTCTTTCCATGATTTCTCTTTAAATTTATCAGCCTAGTATGGCTGAAACAACAACTACTCATTTGTTTCTCATTTTTATAGCTTTACAAAATATTTTCGCACAACAGTGTTGTTGATTTAGGGGTCTGATTTTTTTTTTGTTGTTACTATAAAAGACCTTCCAGGGCCTTTTGACCCCCTTAATTTCTCCTTTTCCTTGCTTAGTAGTCAATAAACTCCAGTGCTTCCCTATAACCTCCAGGATTAAATATAGACTCTTCTGTTTGGCGTACAAAACCCTTTGCCACCTGACTATCCATCTTTTCTAATCTCTTGCTCATTCTCCTCCGTCCATACTCTACAGGCAGTCTGACCTTCTTCCTGTTCTTTGTATGTGGCACTACATTTTCCCATTGTCTTTTTAGCGGCTGTTCCTCTAACTTGGAATATACTTTCTTCTTACCTATTTCTTCTAGAATCCCTAATTTCTTTCTAGGATTAGCTCCCAAGAATTAGACCTGGGGAAAGGGTCAGTATCACCTTCTATATTAGGCTTTTCTTGGTCCTCCAAAAGCTGGTGCCTTTCCCCTTTCATCCTTCAAAATCACACTGTACGGTCCAGGGTAAGTACTGTGGTACAGTAGAAGGAACATTGGCACTGGATTTAGAAGATCTAGGTTCAAATTA